ACGTGTGCACAAACCTCCCCCTCCCCCCCAAGTGCCCCCGGAGCGCTGATTTAGCGATCCGCACTCCGGGGGCAACTTGGCTATTAGATATATAGATGTACATTCGCTTCTCACTCTAAGGTTCAACTTCTACAGACAGTGGGGAGAGAGCCGAAGCCAGGAGAATTCTAACTCAGTCAGTGAGGCCAGAGAGAGAAGCAGCAGCAGACAAGTGATGAGCAATACTAACACCATTTTAATTTTAAAGCTGCTTCAGCTATAGACTTGCCAAGTCCCCCCCCGGGCGGGCGGGGGGGAAGCGGGCCCGCACGCCCCAACCGCTGGCGGATCGGGCCCCGGGGGGAACTCCACCCCGACGTGCACGTCACCTGGAAGTGACACGACCACGCCGGGCACACAGGGGGCGGGGCCACGGTCATCCGAGGGGAAACTCTATGGTTTTCTCTCGGATGGTCGTGGCCACGCCCCCAGCGTGCCCGCGTCACTTCCGGGTGACGTGAATGCGGCGCACGCGCTCCAGCCGCAAGCCGGGAGTCCCCCGCTGTGGCTCAATTCTCACTTGGCAACCCTATGCAGCTAACATTAGGCCTGCTGACACATAAGAAGACGAGGGGGAATGTGGGAATAAAATATGGACCTGTAGAGGGAAACATGCTGGGAAAACTGAAGCCATTGTTCTGTAGTAGCTATTCTGAAGGCCACAGTAACATCTGCTAGCAAAGCATAGGAGTAGATAAGAGAACAATGGATGTTTGTGAAGAGTCTAAAATAAGGATGAAAAACCATATGTGCGATGCTCTTGTCACTAAAGTGTCAAAGTTGTAATGCGCGTGCTTGAAATAAATTGTTTATTGCATACTATACAAGCTAACTCCATGATGATCTGGACAAACCGCATGGCTGTTTTGCTAGCGTTCTCTTTATTCTGAACACAGCTTGCTCCTGCTGTTTTAAACTAAACATTGCCTGTGTGCTTTACTGGACCAGAGCACACAGGAACCCATATTTGGATTACACAGGTTATTATTTAATAGCGCCTGGAAGGAGATCTAAGTAAAATCATGTTTTAACTGTTTCAGGTAGGTAGCTGTGTGAACAAGGTTCGAGTCCAGTAGCAACATGTTTTCATTGATATCAGTCTTTAACTGATGTATGCCTCCTTTGGGGAGTTGTAAACAGAGATAAAGACAGTAAAAATTTGCACCTAAAAATTATAACCGAAACAGAAGAACAGGGAGAGGGACCAAAAAGCAGGCAGGATTCCTTGTCAACAGGGACAGCCAAAGTGTGCAGATAAACCGGCTAGCAAACCCGGCCTATGTATGCCACCTTGCAATGCTCCCATTGAACTCAAGGTAGTTTAGTTTAGTTTTATTATTACGGTCTTAAGACCAACATACAGAGTAAGCATAACGTGTGAGGGAGAGAAGGAAAAAAACAAACAGTCATAATATACAAAAATAGAAATCTGAATTTAAGAACTTTTAAAATGCAATCCCCGCAATCTAAGAATTAATGCACAAAACGCAGCGACTGAATGTGTAATCTCTACATTCTTATCTGATAGGAGCCAGTGAAGCCTTGCTTTGTTTGCGTTAATGTGCCCAGGTGTCCTATCAACGAATGGGGTAATAATTTTAAGACGAGCCTCCCTGTAAAATGGACAGCTGAAGAATGTATGCTCTACCGATTCAACCTCGCTTAAAGGGCATGGGCATAGCCTTTCAGAGTTGGGGGGTTTATTGTACCTGCCTTGAATAACCGCAGATGGAAGGGCAGCCCTTCTAGAATTCTTTCCCTCCACTGAAGTCAAATACATTGCCGGCTCAATGGTGCTTTTGATATTTAACAACACCTTGAAAACTCAAGGTAGTATAGGAACACAATCTAAAACTTTCATTGTTTGACAGCTTTAATTTGCAGACAGACAGAGGAGCTAAGTTTTCCCAGCAGAGTCCCGCCCCCATCGTTTTTTGTGTGAGATGGAGATCTTCCATATCCTTTACATCTACTCCTTCCATGACATCATACTGCATCAGATCCTGCTGATTCTGAACTGCCCACCAGGAATCCAGCCAAGCTGGTCTGAGCCTGTTTCAGTCACTGCAATCCTAAACATGAGTCTTGTACAAAGGACCCCGGGGCACGACCTGTACCAAGAATGGCCAACTGCTTGATATGACCCGCTCCCCTCCACTTCACCTGGACTGTGAATATTTGACCTTGGACCTGTTACTGAAGCTTCTCACTACCTGCATACTTTGTTTAATGTACTTACATAGTGCATTCACAATAAAAATACCTGAGGAAATCTCCAACTATCTAACTAGAAAAGGTATACAATCTACAGTACAAATACTCAAGGAAAAGGCAACCCTGAACTAGAAGTCAAACAAGACCAGCAGTCATAAAAAGCTATAACACTTAAAAGCATTAGCAACAATACACCAACTCAAGTAGAAAGTGATACAAAAAAGAAGGCAGCACATTTATTGGGTGTGTGTGTGTGTCTGATAACCATACCAGAAATAAAAACAAAGCAAAGAACAAGTGCTTGGGGAACAGACACCAGGCCCTGAAAGACCATTAAGAAAATGGAATTATGGGGGATTTTTACCCAGCTGTTCTGTGAAGGGAGTGAGACGATATTGTGGACCAATGGTGGTGTCTACCAGAGCAGGATCCAAACTGTTGGGAAATAGCACAGGCTTCCACTGAGGATGCGCTATATAAAGGACTGGCATTGAAAATGGTAAAATGGATCCATAATTGAGATCCCACAACAAAGAAGAGTCTGTCACTGATGGGCACCCATCTCTCCTCTGAGCGTTGGGGGAGTATAGATCTCGACCTCTAATGAAGATTCAAAGCGCCCCACCAAGCTGTTGCTGTTAACTGTTCTATAATTTTCCAGTGTCGATCCTCTATATAGCACATCTCAACTGGAAATCCACACTTTCCTCCAACGGTTCAAGTCCTGCGCTGACTGGAGTTCAGAAGCCAATGGTGGAGCCAATCAGTGCCTTGTTATGAAAAATCCCCTAATACACCAGTTAGTACTGTATTTACTTGAAAGGAAGACAACCCTTCATTTAAGATGACCACTCCCCCCCAAATGATACAAAACCCCCTCTTTTTTGCATTACTGGACATAACTGCAATTTGTATTCAAATTTAAGATGACCCCCTCTTTTTCTAATGGCATACCTGGAAAAAGCTTGTCCTGCATTTGAGTAAATACTGTACTTATACTTACTTCACAAAACACCCCACTTAAGTCTTTCTTGGGAAATGTTCTCAGTGGGAAACCTTACAAGTTTAGCAACCACTTACCCGACGACCTTTTGGGCCTCGCACGCCTTGAGAACCACGAACTCCAGAAGGTCCCTGGAAGAGAAGAACATCACAGTAACTTACTTGGCCTGGGAGTCTCATTCGCATCTCAAGATACTTGCCATTCATTAAAAATCATAGACCAGATGTGCATTAGCATCTCTCATGTGGTGAAACTCACAATAAAAGTAAAATGTGATGCTTCTCATATTAAAAAACCAGCAATAATTATTGAGGGTGTGTGCATGCCTGTGTGTGTAAATACGTATACAACATCCAACAAGGAAGTGATTTAAAGGAAAGAAAAAAATAAATGGGGCAAACTTTAAAATAAAGGAGTGAGAGGAAGAAAACTGAGGGTGATTCATTTGATCACACAAATACCAGTTGTTTCTATTGGCAGGTACTAATGGTGAGGTCCTGACCAAGGCTCCCTCTAAGCTGTGGAGTCCTGTGAGCAAAAATTCTACTTGGTGAACTACTGGCATTAAAGTTGTGAGCAAGCAATTTGGCTGCTGCATGAATTAGTTTGCTCTGAAGCCCTCCTTCCTGAGCTAAGACAAAAATCTGTGAGCTACCTCACACTAACTCAGCTTAGAGGGAACACTGGTCCTGACCTGGATAGCACTGTCTTGTCAGATCTTGGAAGTTAAACAGGTTTGGCCCTGGTTAGTCTTTGGATGGGAGACTTCCAAGGAATACCAGGGTCATGATACAGAGGCAGGCAATGGCAAATCACCTCGGAACGTCTCTTGCCTTGAAACCCCTACGGGGGCTGCCAGACATCAGTTGTGACTTTTTACTAAAAAAGGGAGGGGGTTATGAGAACAGCAATTGAAATATTCTAAAAAAGGGATTCCATACAGCATTAAGATTACTGAACAGACTTCTTTGCATATAGGTCCTTTGTTCTTCAGAGATTAAATCTAGATGATCTCACACTTGGTCAATATTTGGAAATGGACAAGCTTTCCAGCCACTTAGGACCACCCACATAGCCACTAGTTCTGCACAAATAACCCAGGCTGCCTGCAACTTGTTTGAGGCCAGGTAGAGTGTGGTTGATGAAGTCAATGTGCTTACCAAATGGTAAGGTCTTACTGGCAAAATCCTGCAGATTTTTTAAAGATTTCCCTTTAGAAATGTAATACTAATTCCCTTGATGCCACATTTTTCGCATCGCCATGCTTTGATGCACAGTTGATCTTATCAGCTGAATCCCATTTGTTGATGGGAATCAACAACCTGCAAATTAAATCCAGTGGTAATGAGCATATGATGCCCTTGACTAATATTGAGAGAGATGTGAAAGTCAATATGGGTGAAACCCACCTTTCTCAGCTCAGAACGGCCCAGATCTTTTTCTGAGCCTTTGCGGGGAATTCTGGGGGGCAAAAGGCTCATGCTTAATCTGAGAGCCAAGCCACATGATACATTTTTGGGCAAGTAGGGCCTAGTTTCCTTGGACCTGACTCACTGTCCCCACAGCCTCACACCAGCTATAGAGAGCATCATTTTAAAAATCAGCAAAAATGTGATTCGGCTTGGCACTGCAGAATGGGGGGGTGGAGGAGTTCCTGCTCCCTCCCCCACATAATTTTCTCAAGGTGAAACAGCCTGAGGAGAGAGATTTATCTCCTCCGGTTTGGAGCTGCTGTCGATTTTTAAAAAAACGTTTTCTCCAGCTTCTGTGTGCTTGGGGCGAATGGGAGTCAAGTCTGGGGAACCCGAAACCCGACATGCCAAAATCTCTTGTGTAGTTTGGCCCCGAGTTACGCAAAGTTTGGAAAGATCCAGAGTTTTGTGGGGAGGGTTTGGCTAGAATAAAAAGCTTCACTTCCTGAAGTTCATGTTAGCAATTCAAGCTCCATACATACTCAGAAATCTCCACTACAGAGGAAGGAACAGCTTAGGCCCTCTTGTGTCCTGTTTTCTCTCCTCCCCACAACTGTACATCTTGGTAATATTAACAAAGCACAGAACAGCCAGTATGGCAAAGAGGCTAAAGTGTTGGACCAGGACCAGAGATTCTTGTGTTCTAACTACCATTCAGTCACAACAGTCACTGGGTAGCCCTGTGCCAGTAATTCTTTCCCTGCCTAACCTAACCTGGGGAATTACACAACTTGACGGTTGATGATGAAGAAACTGAAATCGTCAAAGATCTTCTATTCCTTGGCTCCATCATCAACAAAAAGGGAGACTTCAACCAAGAAATCACATTGAGACCAGAGGGGGCAGCCATGAAGCGGCTAGAAAAGATTCGTAAGCATAAGGATGTGCTGCTGGCGACCGAGATCAAGTTACTTCATGCCACAGTATTGTATTCCCCATTGTTATGTATGGGTGTGAAAGTTGGACAATGAAGAAAACGAAGGAGCAGGAGCAGGAGGAGGAGGAGGAGGAGGAGGAGGAGGAGATTAGATTTATATCCCACCCTTCACTCAGAGTCTCAGAGCGGCTTACAATCTCCTTCCCTTCCACTCCCCACAACAGACATGTGGTGTTGTAAAAGAGTTTTACAGATACTGTGGACTACCAAAAAGACAAATAAATGGGTTCTAGATAAATCATGTCTGAACTCTCCCTAGAAGCTTAAATGACTAAACTGAGGCTATCGTACTTTGGTCATGTTGTGAGAAGAGAAGAGTCACAATAATAGTAGGAAAAGTTGAAGACAGCAGAAAATGAAGATGGCCTCACCCAAGACAAGGTGGATTGACCCAAGCAAGGAAGCCATGGCCCTCAGTTGGCAAGACCTGGGCAAGGCTGTTAATAATAGGACATTTTGGAGGCCATTAATTTATAGGGTTGCCATAAATTGGACAGACTTCACGTTCCTGGGATCCCAGATCACTGCAGATGGTGATTGCAGCCATGAAATTAAAAGACGCCTGCTCCTTGGGAGGAAAGTGTTGGCGAACCTAAACAGCATGATAAAAAGCAGAGACATCACCCTGCCAACAAAAGTCCGCATGGTCAAAGCAATGGTATTCCCAATAGTAATGTATGGTTGTGAAAGTTGGACTATAAGGAAGGCCGAGCGCCGAAGAATAGATTCTTTTGAACTATGGTGCTGGAGAAGACTCTTGAGAGTCCCTTGGACTGCAAGGAGCTCAAATCAGTCACTCCTAAAAGAAATCAACCCTGACTGTTCCCTGGAAGGCCAGATAATGAAACTGAAGCTCAAATACTTTGGCCACCCAATGAGAAGGGAGCACTCACTGGAGAAGACCCTGATGCTGGGAAAGACTGAAGGTCAAAGAAGATGGGGACGGCAAAGGATGAGATGGTTAGACAGTGTCATAGATGCAACGAACATGAAATTGAGCCAACTTCAGAGGACGGCGGAAGACAGGAAGGCCTGACGTGATCTGGTCCATGGGGTCGCGAAGAGTCGGACTCGACTGTGCGACTGAACAACAACAACATAAATTGGAAGCAACTTGACAGCACTTAACACACGCACCAACCTATCTCATAGGGTTGTTGTGAGGATAAAATGAAGGAGAAAAGAAAATGCACGCTGTTCTAAGCTTCTTTGATGGGACAAAATGTAATACACGAGAAGCGGGAGAGGAGAGAAAGTTGGAGATTTGAGGACTGACACTACACGATCAAGTTGAGCTGAAATTCGTAAGTGCAACTGAGCTTGGCTTGTAATGGCTGAGAGATTCCTGAATTTCAAACCCAACCATTCCCATTTCCAGTCTTCTTCTCCTTACTCTATGAAAGACAACCGCTAGCAGAAAGATATTTAGGATTTACTCACTGATGGCCCAGGAGGTCCTGGGGGCCCAACTCCTCCTGGTATCCCAGGATGTCCCTACAAAATAAATAAATATACATATTTAAACTTGGGAAATTAACCTGTTTTCTTATTCACCGCAATCACTTATATTAGGGCTTCTTTATCCATACACAATGGCAAATACGCGCTGGCCACTGTCCATGCATTTGGCAGAATATGACAGGCAAGCTGCTAGTCCTGATACTTGTATTCATGTGATAAGGCAGTTCACAATCAAATGTTGCTGGCTTTTTCCATTGCATATGTTACATGTCTAAAGGGAAAAAAATCTAAAACCTTGTACATGCAAGAAATGTAATGTGGAAAGAAACCCCTTCTGCTAAAAGCATTGGAAAAGACAAGTTATGGCCTGGTTAGGCAAGCTGCTGGTTAGGCAAGCTGCTAGTCCTGATACTTGTATTCATGTGATAAGGCAGTTCACAATCAAATGTTGCTGGCTTTTTCCATTGCATATGTTACATTGTCCATGCATTTGGCAGAATATGACAGGCAAGCTGCTAGTCCTGATACTTGTATTCATGTGATAAGGCAGTTCACAATCAAATGTTGCTGGCTTTTTCCATTGCATATGTTACATGTCTAAAGAAAAAAAAATCTAAAACCTTGTACCTGCAAGAAATGTAATGTGGAAAGAAACCCCTTCTGCTAAAAGCACTGGAAAAGACAAGTTATGGCCTGGTGTAAGAAGCCAACATTGTAAGCATCGGCTGTGGATCATCTAAAAATGACGCCTTATGTTTTGTTGAGAAGGTTGCTTCTTCCATCGAGAGCACTACGGTATTTCTTACTGGTACCACTACCACTTTCATTTTTTCAAAGCCCTGGAAATGCTTTGTTTAGTTCTCATTCTCATTCCAATTGCAGGTAGGAGCTCACAAGACTAAATGGTCCTCCATGCAAAAAAACCCAAAACCATTACCTGCACATAGAAAACTAGCATATCAGGAGAAGATTCTAGCCTAGCTATCACCTTCACATGCCAGTTTTCATGGGGGACATATTCCATCCTATGAGCACCACCTGCAGTAGATATAGCCTAGACAAGAGGTTTACCATCACAGAGAGAACTAGGCTTCAGACATGATCTCCTTTGGGTTAACGCTCCTCCGTGACCCTAGCATGTCATGCTTGCTTACTTGGGCAAATCAGAGTAAGTGTTTTCCCAGGCTTTCAAGGATCAAGTGATTTGAGAAGACAGAGGGACTGAGTGGTCAGCACACTTAATCCTGCTTGGGCACATGAGTGCTAGCACATTATCATTTGGCACAAGTCAAACACCCTCCTTGATTTCTCATGGGGAATAGGAAGAATGAGCAGCTGAAGACGGTCAGTCGGGGGACGGGGCCATGCAAGTGGTGGGGAAAGAAAGAACTATCGTTTGTCAGGCAGAGAAGGAGCGAGAGAATGCAGACTTACTCCTTACCATCGACCCCTTGACGCCTGGTGGTCCTGGCGGTCCAACAGTGCCCCGATCTCCCTACGGGAGGCAACGGTACATAAAAGCACAGTGAGCTGTCTTATCAACAAGCAACACATCTGCTGAAAGATGCGAAAGAGTGGACAATTATGCTATTTAATATTCCGAGATGCTTGAGTGATTTTTGTTTTAATTCAGTTTCCATCCATGTATAAATTTCATCTCATGAACTGCCCACAGGGTCTAGACTAGGCATAAGGAAGGGTATAAATAAAGAGAATGGGGGGGGAGAGAGTTGAGGGGGGTGCTTCATATATGGGAAGAATTTCTCACCATTTGGCACAACGTTTTTTTAAAAAAGCAATCACAGCAATGCTTGGATCTCATCAACTGTCAGACCTGTTGTATTCCAGCATTTGTTTCAGGAAACAATTCTGGTCATAGATGAGAGCCACGCAAATAAACATGTCCTGGGCATAATCCAAGCCAACATTAAGCACATTGTAGTCCTATTGATTTTAAAGGGTGAGGAGAGGGAATTGTGCAAATGTGCAACTCTATCTAAATCAAAGGTATAATGTGGGCGGAGCGTGCCCACTGTCTCTCATTTGGAAGCACAAGGGATCTTCGGCACCTGCTGATTCCAGGAAAGGGAGGTGTGCAAAAAGTCCTTCGCTACAAAAAGCAGCAGCTTTAGGAACAGCAGTGAATTGTCTGAGAGGACCTGATGCTAAAGATAAGCATCGGTTTCCCTGACACAGCAAGCACACAGATATCTACATTTAAACTGAAGAGGGGTTTTGCGCACCCACTTTTGGAACAGCAGTATCTAACAAATTCAGAATCAGGATCAAACATCTCATTACAATGGGGATCTGTAACTGAATTTTCTGTTGTGCACCTTTCCTGCGGCTCTGGGAAAGGGGGATTTAACCCATCCCCACTATGTCAGTTTCCCAGCTGAAATTGTCTCCCCCCCCTCCAGCTGCTGCCAGAAGAAGACAGACAGTTGTTTTTTTGTACCCTGCTTTCCTCGACCTTAAGGAGTGTCAAAGCGGCTTATAACCTCCTTCCCACAACCGGCACCTTGTGAGGCAGGTGGGGCTGAGGGGGTTCTGAGGGAACTGTGACTGGTCCAGGGTTACCCAGCAGGCCTCACGTGTCTCAAAGTGGCTTATGATCGCCTTCCCTTCCTCTCCCCACAACAGGTACCTGGTGAGGCAGGTGGAGCCTCCTGAGAGAACGGTGACCGGCCCAAGGAGGTCACCCAGCAGGCTTCATGTGGAGGAGGAGTAGGGAATCAAACCCAGTCTGAGTCTGCCGCTTTTAATCACTACACCATGCCAGCTCCTCTTCTTCACCCAAATCAAGGCCCGGGCCTTTTAGGGTTAAAGCAAAACTTGGGAGGCCAATTATGGACCCTGACATAACATGCAATTTAGAGGGACAGAGAGCTAGTTTGGTATAGTGGTTAAGTGCACAGACTCTAATCTGGGAGAACCGGGTTTGATTCCCCACTCCTCCACTTGCACCTGGCTGGATGACCTTGGGCAAGCCGTAGTTCTGATAAGAGCTGTCCTTGAAAAAGAGCAGTTTCTGTCAAGAGCTCTCTCAGCCCCACCTACCTCACAGGCAGTGTTCCCTCTAAACTGAGTTAGTGTGAACTAGCTCACAGTTTTTTAGCCTCCAGCTCACACATTTTTGTCTTTGCTCAGGAAGGAGGGCTCCATTTGCAAACAAATTTATGCAGCAGCCAAATGGCTTGCTCACAACTTTGATGCCAGTAGCTCACAAAGTAAGAAGCTTTGCTCACAAGGCTCCACAGCTTAGAGGGAACATTGCTCACAGGGTGTCTGTTGTGGGGAGGGGAAGGGAAAGGAGTTTGTAAGCCGCTCTGTGAGACACCTGTGGGTAGTGAAGGGCGGGTTATAAATCCAATCTCTTCTCTTCTTCTTCACTTTAAAACCTACCCTGTGGAAACTGAGTGAAGAATTTAACATCCTCTCAGCTTTTTTTAGAAGCAACACACACACACATTTTTAGTTCCTGTTAATGTAACATCAGGCTTCAAACTGAATGAGCAATGCCTGGTAAAACCTCAGAAAGCTGAAAAATAAGCCATGCACCACTTTCCAGGTGTCAACAGCACAGTGGCTCTCCAGTTCCCTGTATACCTCCTCCAGCATCTACTGTAAGCTGTGAATAACTTTCAAGAGAAAAGACTAGACAAAGCCTATCAGTAGGAAGCAAGTTTAATAATGCTTTGATCTCACCTCCAACAGCCAGGTATCTCTCCTGCAGAGCAGAAGACTAACCCTTTGGTTACCACAACGTCCCCACCCAATGACTGGCAATAGTAGAGGAAATTATGTAAATTAATTAAATGACTGCCAATATACTTAACTTCACATAACCTATTACACAACATAGACAGGGCTATTTTGGGGCAGGAACGCACAGGAACAGAGTTCCGGCTGGCTCCCGAGTTGGCCACACCCAGCAGGAACTCATTAGCATAATAGGCCATACCCAACAGCAGAAACTCATTAGGATTGGCTACATTAGGGATGTGTGGCCTAACATGCAAAGAAGTTCCTGCTACAAAAAAAGCTCTGGGTTTTGACAACAAACAAGATAAACAGAATAAGAATCAAAAGGTGGGTGTGGCTGGATGACCATATTTCTGGTAACATGGGGGTGCGGCCAATATATGCTGATGAGCTGTGCTGTCAGGGTGTGGCCTAATATGCTCATGAGTTTCTGCTGTTGGGTGTGGCCTATTATGCTAATGAGATCCTGCTGGGCTTTTTCTACAAAAAATGCCCTGAACATAGATATTTAACAAGGCCTATACAGCCAGGTGCCTGTTGACCCCATAACCTGGTAGGCGACCCACCACTGAGCAGAGTACTAGACTCCTTTGCTATTCCCATCCATTTGCTCATCTGCCCTTTCCTTCTGGCCCAGAGTGGGCAAGTAAACAGCAAGAGCAAAGAGGAAGAACAGAAGTACCAGCCAGTGACAAGTGTGGAGAGGAGGAGATGTGCCCACTGAGGCCCTCTTGCAAAAGAGCCCCCAACGCCTGAATAACATGGGTGGCGGATTTTTGATTTTATTGTAGTCCTGAGAATGCATTGCCTGATACGCTCGGTCCAAAACTTTGTCCTTCCAGAAGGTAGCGCAGCTGGTTCACTTGCAATTCATCCTTACCTTCTCCCCAACTATTCCGAGTTCCCCTACTGGACCAATGAAGCCCATCAGACCCTGAAAAGAAAAGAAAAGAAAGAGAGAAAGCAAAATTGATTTTCTGCTTTGTTAGCTCCAAGTGTGTGTGGGGGGAACACCTCTCCACTCCTCTCCTGACTTCTCCTGGATGGATGAATTAGACCAGCAACCTTTGCACACTGCCCAGAACTTCATATTGGCTGCCAGCAAAGACACAATTGCCCTCAGGCTGAGGCCTCCCCTACGCAGCCAGCTGGTCCTGCTTTAAAACCACACTTGGGCCTTTGATGCTTGGTGGCTGCGAGAGCCACAACACACACCAGACCAGGAACAAATTACAGGCACTCCAAGACCATAGGACAGGGAGGGCTATGTTTACACGCTTGCTTTTGCTACATCTTTCTTCTAAGCTGAAAGCTATGGTATCAGACCAGCCAAAGAATGCTGCAGGACGCTAACCTGGCATTAAACAGATTATGCTTATGAGAACAAGAGGGAATAGCACCAGGTACTCTGGGGAAATGTGTGTTATTTTTCGAGCCAAGCAGGAGTGCAGTGAACCATGATTCTTGGTGTCTGAAACATTCTCCAGGTGAGGCTAGAACGGTCTTATACTACAGCCAAGATAATTTGAATCACTTAGGGTTGCCTACGATCCCCAGAAGACTTGGGCGGAGGGAGAGTTGAGAGCAAACACACACAAAACCCTACAAAACATAACACCGGCAATTCAATATGTAAACATATCAGAAACAGGAAACAAATGTGCACATACAATAAGATAACACACAATGCCAAATAAAACAAAACAGAAAGCCACAGGTATTCCAGCACAAAGCCTTCATCAGTGGCTTATAACCATAATTAGCACAGTCATATCTAATTCACACCGTGAAGAACAGAACATTCATTTATATATTGCATCATACAACTTTTTTGTGAGGGCGGGGGTGTTCTCAGCCTTTTTAGTTTGCCCTGTCTTTTTTGGTTGGGTAATTGTTCCCTTTTTTGTGGTGCACATGGAAAAAAAGACACCATGTAGGTGTTGCCATCAGTTCTGGCTAAAACCAATTATGGCCCCGGTCACACGGAGCATTAGCCACGCTAGAGAGACGGAAGACAGGCGGATTTTCCGGGCGTGATCTCACTGCCACATCTGGGAAGCGTAGAGCTCCCGTGGCTCAACCGAGGCTTCCCGCCGAAGATGTGCGGCAAAAAACTAGTACCTCGGAGGTACTAGTTTCCGGAAACTGCGGGGCAAGGGCGGGAGTCTGATCGCGTTTCCGGTGGCATCCGGCACCCGCCCATGCCCCATTGTGAAAAGGGTTTTTTCTCCTGAAGTCTCCAGGGATGCGCACAAGCACCCGAGGCATGCGCATACTTCAGGTTAAAAAAACAAAACACAACCCCGTTTGCCGCGCCGCTTCTTTGGTGCATCGTGTGATCGGCACCTCCCCCCTACCCACGGGACCTCGACGGGACCACGAGGGGATGCCTGATCGCGCAGTCACACGTTATTTCCCTGCGGGGCAAACAGCCACGCCTCCCCCCCTGCGATATCCGGCCTGTGTGACCGGGGCCAACGTATGGATTATTGAGTTGCCTCATAACTTCCAAGAGGAGACACTACTAATTTCATTAACAAATTGGAGGGTACATCTCATATAAGTACAGAAAATCTTTTGGTTACGCTAGCTATTGTATCATTTGAAACCAGCATACCCCCAGGGGAAGTGTTATTTATTGTAGAAGAAATCTTATACAGGAGAAATAATAGGAATTCCCCAACTCATTTCTTGTTATCTCTAGCTGAAACAGTGCTCACAAACAATTCTTTCCATTTAATGATATATTATATTTGCATATTAAAGGCATTGCAATAGGACCCTCAATGGCCTCAGAAGCTGCCAACTTATATATGGGCAATTTAGGTTTATTTATTCTGCTAATAACCCTTTCCATAGTTGTATCATTAAGTGCTGACGATCTCTAGACAGTGTATTTTTATTAGGGAAAGGTGACCATAGAGGTTTGTTAGAATTTCAAAATTGGCTGGATATAAAGGATGAAAATATTAAATTTGGCCTCCATTTGAATAACAAAAAAAATATTTTTAGATGTCAGCCTCATAACTGTATACGAATCTTTATTTAAAAAAACCAACAGATAAAATCTCCCTTTTGAGATATGACAGTCACCACCCCAAACATATGAAGAATAGTTTACCATTCAGCCAGTTCTTACAGCGTGGAAGAAATTGCTCAAATGTCTACAACTTCAAAAGGGAAGAAGAAGAAGAAGAATAGGAGATTGGATTTATACCCCACCCTTCGCTACCCGAGGGAGTCTCAGAATGGCTTACAAACTCCTCTCCCTTCCCCTCCCCACAATAGACACCCTGTGAGGTAGGTGGGGCTGAGAGAGCTCCAACAGAAACTGCTCTTTTTCAGGAACAGCTGTGCCAGAACTACGGCTTGCCCAAGGTCATCCAGCAGTTGCTACCGGAGGAGTGGGGAATCAAACCCAGTTCTCCCAGATTAGAGTCCGTGCACTTAATCACTACACTAAACTGGCTTCCATTCTTGAGCACAATGTAGCTAACAGGGGCTACCCAAATTGCATACTGGTCTGCTTATTTAAAAGTATATATACACATACAAATACACTTAAGTTCAACTCATACATGTGTACATTTAATTACCTAAGTACAAAACATTCTATAATGAAAAACAACAGCAATTTCTGTCCCTCTTTTTGTACTTGTGGAGAGAGATGGTAAGATGATATATTTGCCAGTAAGATATACATTTATTGATGTGATTCTACATATTGACTGTATCTTATTGATCTTATGGTCTTTTAGGACGCAACGAGGGACGTAATACATCCAGGACCTTGTGATCTGTTTACACAGTTCTGGAAAATTTCACTGGACATTTCTTTACTCTCCCTTGTTCTATAGTTTGTATTGCTCTGACAGAGCTTGTTGTTTTTCATTACAGAATGTTTTGTACTTAGATAATTAAATGTACACAAGTATGAGTCGAATTTAACACTGTATTTGTATGTGTATATATACTGTTGAGTGCTGTTGGTTCCTTATGTCTGCTTATTTAAAAGCCTTGGTATCAAAAAGAAATTACTCATGAACAAGGGAAAAACTGATTGTGACAGGATTATATCTAGTTTTTCTTATAATAACATAAGTCTGAGTTTAAAGAAGATTGTTTGTAAAAACTGGTATTTGCTAGAGAATATTCATTTATTTTACTGGAGAACTCAGAATCTGAGGGAACATCTAGTCCATAGTAACACTCATAAATATGTTAGTCATCAAAGAGTTTTACTGGGCACTAAACCTCTCCGGGGACATTGTGCCCACGGAAATTATAACTGTTCTAAATTAACATGCAATATGAAACCAACTCTTTAGATAAGAAAAATATATATACCAAGGGCTTTTACAACATGTAACTCTACACAGGTTATATATATCATCCAATGCCCCTGTACAAAAATTGATGTTGGAAAAACAATAAAGAACCTAAGAACTTGTATAGTGGAACACAAAAGTAATATTAAATTGAAAAGAACGAGTGCCCCACTGGCTAAACACTTTATTGAAAACAATCATGGTCCCTCCGTATTTTGGGCTGTGCAAAAATTAACTTGCCAAAATGAAAGGCTGCTATTAGATTGTTAGACTCCAGATCCTGACACCTTATAGGTTAAATTTGTCTCTGGAATAGCATCAGTTTATGTAAAATAAAGAGATATTGCATCAACTGAACACTGATACTACGGTCCTTCCACTCTGGTTGCAAGACTAACAGGTTTGTAACATTCATTTAGGTAGAAGAAAGATTTTTAAAAAATTGAGTCAAAATCTGTTGGGTGCTGGACATTGTATCTTATCTTTCTTTACAGGGAGTTCGTCTCTCTCCCTCATTTTCCTTCATGCAATCATAAGGACAGAATAAGCTCTAGAAATTTTGTACATGGTTGATATTTTACAGTACAAATTGTAATATATTAACACAATGTTTTATTTATTTACATAATTTTAACTAAATAACCATTGCTATTTATGAAAAACTCAGTAATGTATTTGCATATTATATATTACAGATTCCCCTAAAGAAATCCGTTGGTAAAACACTTTACTTACACCATTGGCCCTGGCCTTATTTTTTATCTGTTAGTACCTGGTGCAGCCCTTTTGAATCTTACAAGACAGCGATATACACAGCAGCCAAATCACCTGCTCACAACTTTAATGCCAGTAGCGCACAATGTAGAATTTTTGCTCACAAGTTTCCACAGCTTAGAGGGAACATTGGTTGCTAGGTCCCCTGGTCGCTCCGGTGGGGGGATTTGTCATGCGGCAACCCGGGTCTTGAACTGCTGAACTACTGACCTTCCACAGCCTGCAGTTCAGCGTCTTAACCACTTGAGCCACCGCAGCTCCTTATTCAGCAATACACACACTGTTTTTAGGCAGAGGTAGCTGCCATTTTTCATATAAAGGGCACAGGAGGAGAGAGCGCAAAAAGATACACTAGAATACTATAAGCGTTTTGTTGTTTTAATTCCACCAGTCTAATCTTTGCCCTGTATCTTCCAGACAGTTTTTAAAACAGTTCCTAGTTTAGGACAGAAATGCCTCAGTTTGTGCTGCTCTCACAACACTATAAAATGGATTTTTTACATTACCAGAACACACACTGAATTTCCCTCCTCTGTCCCCCAATCTCAGATATATCATATGGAATCCCTATAGCTTATTCAGTCAGGGCTTGGGCTTTGGAACTGGGTTTTTAATAAGGCCACTGTTGTTTTGAGTATTCTGGTAAACCGTCACCTGGGATTATATTCTTTTCATAAATAAAATAATGGATGGTGCTGTGGGCAATCATTTGAGAAAGCTCAGAACGCAAACAAGACCAAGTTGCAGGGAGGAGGAGAAGAGGACACCAGTATTTACACTGGGAAACACTCTGCACTTCTCTTTCCATCTATTTAGCACCATTCTACTCACC